GCCAGGATGCCATCTCTGTAGTCTCTTATCCTGATAAAAACTCTGCAAGGTGGGTGTCCTTACCTCTATTTTAATGCTGAAGACACTAAGGCCCAGACAGGTTATATAATTTTCCAAGTCTACAAAGAAACAGAACCAAAACTTGAACCCAGCTCTATCTGGCTTCCAACTCTAGGCTATTTTCACTCCTTCAGATGACTCAAGAAGTGTTTGTCTGATCGATTTTGGGCATGCCTACAAAGCAGTTTCTCATAATTCCTTCCCTATTGGAGCCTCAGGAAATCCATTTCGATGCCAACTTCATCTCCCCTTAGGAGCAGGGAATGCTTCCTGAAAGAGCCTGCTCTCTCAGCAGCTGGTGATATTTGATTTGATTAACACCCTGGGACCTATCACCAGACTTGAAGACGATGCCTAATTAATTGCTTACGTTAAAGAGCTGGCACTTCCTGCATTTGGTTCACACTTCCAGCCGCAATCATGTTTTCACTTCAGCAATAATATTTATGTGATTAGCAAATAGTCAATTCATACTCTGATGTGGACCTGATCTGTGTGTGGGACCTCCCAAAGCAGATGTCCTTGGCAGGTGTAAAGAAATAGACTTTCCCCCCCACCCCCCCACAGGAAGAGGCATGAAAAAAGATCTTCCACTTACATTTCAATGAAAAATCACACATCAACAAATACTCATTGAGCACTGACCTACTCTGTGTCAGTCATTACATTTCGAAGGCCTCGTGGGGGCTAAAAAGGAGTCACATTAGAAATAACTTCTTTTTTTCTTCTTCTAGGATTTAGATGCATAGGTCAGAAAAAGACATTCTACATTAGACATCTTAAGTTTCAATAAGCATTTGCTAAGGTAGCCCAAGATATTATCATACAAAAGGCAGGAATATATGGCCTAGATGGTACTACAGTTAAGTGAGTTTGTGATGTTAAAGGACTCCAGAATGCAAATGGAGGTCAAACTAAAAAAAAGTGATGTGCCATGAGGCAACCCTATGCAATCTTTTTAATCAAGAACTTGGACAATGACACAGAAAAGCAGGATAATATCTTCTGTTAGCAGGAAGTTGGAATGGATAAGGTAGAATTTTGGATGACACAATTTAACCCAACTGAAAAGTGGGTTGAATTCTAACATCATGAGATTCAATAAGAACAAATACCATACAGCCACCAGAACCAGTACTGCACAGGGAAGATGTGGCTTTGAGAGAAAGATTTGAGGATTAGGAACCAGCCACAAGCTTAATATGAAGCAAAAAAGGTGTGATGTATGGCCCAAGTCACTAATGCATGTTTGACTATTGTAAAATACCAAGACCTGGCTGGTGAGAGCCCTGCTCTGATTCTTACTGTCCGCCCACCCTTAGATACTGCATATACTGCATTCTGTTCAGTTGAAAGTAGGCGGACCATGTATGATATTGGTCAACCAGGATGCTTTCTAAAATGAAAGGGTTTTGGGAGATGATTAAGCCTGGAAAATAAGCATAAACAAAGACTCCTTGACAACCTGGATTGTATGTTACTCAGTTATAAGGGATACAGACAAATTGGAGGTTATTCAAAAGATAGATTCAAGAATGGGAAGGCCTCAAAAAATAGATTTTGATAAATTTTTGAAGAGAGAATTGTTTAGCCTGAGGAAGAACAACATGAGGTCTGAATAAAAGCTATTTTGAGTTATTGAAAGGAAAGCATACAGAATTTGGATGGGACCTGTGGATCATGGGTCTTGAGGAATTCTACTAGGAGGCATCCAGTATAGAAAAAAATGACTGCATCTTAGGGGAACTCAAGCCTGAGAGGGGGGGAATGAATAGCCCTCCAACGAGGATAGACTTTTTGAAAGCCTACCTGGGTCATGTGCCTACTTAATTCTTAAAAAAAAAAAAAAAAAAAAAAAAAAAAAAAAAAAAAAAAAAAAATCTATTAAATTGGAATAATTCCTTCTTAATGAAAAAAAATCTGCTTAAAAAATGTTATTATTGTTCTAATATATGGTGATTCTGCCCTCTTTTTTTTTTTTTTTTTCCAGAGAGAAGTTCCTTCATGGAAGTTAGACACCACAGGTCTATGATTCTATTAGGAAAAAAAGAGGGCAGAACCACCATATATTAGAACAACAATAACATTTTTTTTAAAAAGCAGATTTTTTTCATTAAGAAGGAATTATGGTTTTATATATGCTTATACTTTTTTTTTTTTTATTAAACTTGTTGTGGTGACATTGGTTAATAAGATTATATAGGTTTCAAACATACAATTCTATAATACATCATTTAGATAGTGCATTGTGTGTTTACCACCCAAAGTCAAATCTCCTCCTGTCATCCTGTGTTTGACCCCCTTTACCCTTTACTATCTCCCCCACAACCACCTTTCCCTTTGGTGACCACTCTGAGTTTTCATTTGTCCATTTGTTGCTTTCAAGTTTATAAATAGCCCACATATGAGCAAAAAAAACCCCCAAAAAACAAACAAAAAAAATACATATGCTTTTTTTTCATGGGACTATTTATAGTTGAAAATTTTCTTTAATATTTTCCTTTGTAAAGACCAACACAAATACCACATCACACTAAATCTAAGACACCATCAGTGGTAAGATGCATTACTAATATCTACCATTAAGAGAGAGGGGAAAAAAATGGCGCCAATAAAAGTTATACTCCACAAACTTCTCCGCATTTAAATTCTAACTCTCCTGGATCACTTTTCAACTCAGAATGGGCATGTTGTTCCTATTTCCCCCCCACAATATTAGTATCTGTGCCAGAACAAGAGCATTGAGGATGTAGTGTTTCTTTTAAAAAGCATTCCACTATTTCTCCAAGCAAATGACAACAGTGGGTTTTCGGACAACAAGTAGGATTTTTATTCTTCCTTCAAATAGCCCTCAAATGGTTTGCTTTATGGACTGAAGTTGCCTGCTTATGCCACCAGAAGAAAAACAACTTCGTTCTGCACAGACAATGACAAATGCATCCCACTTGGCTCCGGCCAACAGATGCCAGGGGTGTTACAATGTGAAATATGGATGTTTTAGAACTTACAAAATACAGTTACTCAATCTTCCTATCTGCCTCTTTGACCTAGGTCAGTGGTCGGCAAACTGCAGCTCGTGAGCCACATATGGCTCTTTGGCCCCTTGAGTGTGGCTCTTCCACAAAATACCACGATCTGGGTGAGTCTATTTTGAAGAAGTGGCTTTAGAACACATGTGTCAAACACAAGGCCCGCGGGCCAAATCCGTCCCGCCAGGCCTTGCAATGTGGCCCGCACCGCGCTGTCATCACTGCACTCCACTGCGTTTCCATCACAATGACAGTTTATGACTGTTCAGTAAACCATTCGGCCCGCGATTTAGGCTGGATTTTAGATTTTGGCCCCTTCTCTGATTGAGTTCGACACCCCTACTTTAGAAGAAGTTTACGTTTAAAAAATTTGGTTCTCAAAAAAAATTTTCAAACTTTGTACTGTTGATATTTGGCTCTGTTGACTAATGAGTTTGCCAACCACTGTCCTAGGTTATACCTTTTACTTGATTTCCCCAGCCTGCATTGCTAGCTGGCTGGGATAACCTTTACCCATTGGCCTTCACTTTCACTGAGAGTTTCCATAAGTGTGTTCTTGGCTTGTCCTTCTTTCTTGCTTTCTTTCTTTTTCTTTTTTCTTTTTTTTCTTTAATATATTTTGTTGATTTTCCACAGAGAGAAAGGGAGAGGAATAGAGAGCTAGAAACGTCGATGAGAGAGAAGCATCGACCAGCTGCCTCCTGCACACCCCCTTACTGGGGATGTGCCTACAACCAATGTACATGCCCTTGACCTGAATCAAACATGGGACCTTTCAGTCCGCAGACTGATGATCTATCCACTGAGCCAAATCGGTTTCGGCCTTGTCCTTATTTCTATTTCACGCCAGATCTTGTCTACTTTTCTAATCTCCTCATTTCAGGTCGCTTCCTATCGATATTTTATGCCCACCAACTGGCAGAAAACAAAACAAAAATGAAAAGGCCAACCAAGATTTTGCATCTCAAAAGAAGACGTGCTCCCTCTCTCGCTGTTCTCCTTAAGAAGAGCCACAGAGCTTTACCGAACAGAGCAGTTCTGAGCTCTGGCTGTGAAGCAAAAGAATTCGTTGAGATTTTTTTAAACGTAGATCCCAGTGGGCTAACACAAGACCCGCGGACTCACACTCTCATTTGGGAGTACAACTGTGGGGAAGCAGGCACTTGCATTTTTAAGAGCGATCCGCACATTGATGTGGTATGTCATCTAGGTTATAAATCATTAAGAGCGGAAAGACATTAGGCATTTTCCAGGTCATGCAGGGACAATTTGATTGATATACACTAACGCAAGTTTGAAACCAAGAGTGTGCAGCAGAAAACAGTTCATATGGAGGGACCACAATTGCATTCATTCAAACCAAAACATTCACATCGTCTGTACTCAGGATGATTACACTAAGGGGTGTGAAGTATGGTGAGAGCACAGGCAGGAAAAGAGGAGGAGAGTCTCTTTTCTCAACCTTCCAACAACCCCAAATGTGCCTGGTCTGAGACCATGGGGAAGGCGATCTATGACAACCTCATCCTCCATTCTCCAGCCACTGCTTTCCCGGCCCATTGCAGACATGAGATGCTCTGGGCGTAATTCTGGTTCCCTGACTGAGAGCTATGCTATAGATTCAGAGTGGAAGGTTGTATTAATGAGGGCCTATGCTCAGAAAATAGACAAGTCCTTGCATCGGAGGTCTCCGAGTGTTTTTTAATGGCTAGTAGAGAGCCCTGACATTCTCCCCTAATCACCTCCATTTTTAGCAAAGGTTCTTCTAAATTTTAGATAAGCATTAAGATCTCCCATCTTTTCTGGGTGCTGGTAGATAATTGATGGTTCTACTGTGAGCTCTGGCCTTTTTGTAGTGCCAGGAATTTAGAATGAACTTTCCACACCAAAGCCCAGGCCATCTTTTACTCACCTCCTGGATCCAGGAACCTCTTGCTCATAATTAGGGAAGAGTCTGAGACTCGTTGTCTCCAGTGAATTTCTTTTCCTCCCAGGCCCAAAGCAGAAACTGGAAGCAAGAACACCAGAAGCACAAATCATTGCAAATCAGTGCTGATGGTGCATTAAATACTGATGCTGTGCTTTTTCTCTTGCCCCCCTGTATTGAGCACAAACTATGGGCCAGGCCCTTTATCTCCATTCTCATTTAATTCTCACCACAACCTAGGAAGTAGGCTTCATTGTCCATCCCTGTTTTACAGAGTGAGAACAGGGTCCAGATTAAGCAACAACAATCCCAAGGCCATACAACAGATAAAGGAAGGATCTGTCTCATGTTTCACGAGAATTTTTAAATTCAATTTCATTCCACGACCAGGTATGGAGGCTTTATTACATACCAGGCACCGAAACACCTGCCAGCCTAGGGCGTATAAATCCATGGTAGGTCCTGGGAGGACACAAGGTGAATGCTTCCGGGGCTCACACCCAGCAGCTGACACTAATTTAACTGGCAATCCAAGGTTGATAAAGGGCTTTGATAATGGGCTATAAGGAATGTGTGAATTGATAAAGGCACATGAGGCTGGAGAAAAGGAAAATAACTGAGAGGTCTGTAAAGGTGCCTGGGAAGGAGTGAAATCTGAATTATGCCTTGGACTTTTTTTTAACTTAAAACACTACTGATCCAAAGATGTGGTGCTCCCCTCCCACCCTCCACCAATTCTCTGACATCAGCTGGGTGTCCTACAACTCAGTTTAATTTTGGAACTCCACCTGGAGGTGGAGTCAGATCCCACCAGTTAAGGGCTCCATTCTACAAGACTGCCCCACTTCGGGTGCCAGTTGAAAGTTGTGGATCCTTTGTTACTGCTCTGGTGGCACTTTCTGGGCTCAAGAGGACTCTACTAACACCCTTGCCCTGTGCTGGATATTCTCACTGCTCTGAGGTTGGCTCAGGTTCTCTGTACCTTAGACACCACTCAGCCATTTCTGTTTTAGGGCTTTGTAGCCTTCTTGGACAGAAGGGGGAAGTGATGACAACCCAAGCCAGCTGGGGTCTCTGTATCCATCACCTTTCCCTCTGGGGAGCAGGGCACAGAGCCTCTTTCTTAGAGCAGAGAGAGGCCACCGGCTCTGAAAATGAGTCCTGCTGCTCTCCCTCTACCCCTCACCTTCCCTTTGCTCCTCTTCAACCTACCACTAACAACTAAGAACTCTTTTATCCCCCAGATCTTGTCCTCTCTCCACTCCCCGCCACACTTCTGTAAAACTTCATGTTTTAACAGAGGCTAGAAGCCTTCTTTAATTCTCCTTATAGTTTCTATGCCAAATGCCTAGAGTATCTTGACTTTTGATGATCAAAAGCCCATTTTTCCTCTTCTCTAGTGAAACTCATTTTCCCCAGACACAACAAAAGATGCCTGAATGGGGTTGGGGGGAGAGGCAGAGCAACAGGAGCTGCCCAAGTGGGAAAATCAGCTAATATATTAAAAACATCATTCTGCCAATGTTCTCACCACCCTTTAAATTTGGTTCCTCCCTTGAGCAAAAAGGGAAAAGTTCACTTGGAATCCTTCTTCGTGTTAAGACCTCTTTCCTGTTCCTGTGTCTCAGAAGAATTTCTGTTTCAGGTGACCTGCTCTAGACTGGGCTGGAGGTTAAATTCCAAGGTGACCCTAATACCTACAGGTGATGATCTCACATCTTGAAAGCTGCCTCAGTCAGAACTAACTGCTGACTCTTGGAGATTTTCTCAAGAAATTCAGTAAATAGATCCTGGCCAGTATGGCTCAGTTGGTTGGACTGTTGTCCTGTCCATCTGAAGGGTTGTCGGTTCGATTCCTGGTCAGAGCACATAGCCAGGCTGTGGGTTTGATCCCCTATCAGGGTGTGGGGTGTGTATGAGAGGCAACTGATCAATGTTTCTCTCTCACATCTCTCTCTCTCTCTCTCTCTCTCTCTCTCTCTCTCTCTCTCTCTCTCTCTCTCTCTCTCTCTCTCTCTCTCTCCCCCTGTCTCCTCTTCCTCCTCTCTCTCAAATCAATAAAAACTTATCCTTGGGTTAGAATTTTTTAAAAAGAAAAGAAAGAAATTCAGCGGACAGTATCCCAAGTGGCTAATCACCAAAGTGTGCAATGGTGTAGAAATATAACAGGTATATTTCTAACATATTACTGTTATTTGTATGGCTGGTGTGCCTACATGCAGCCTTTGGAAATTTTTAACACAAGATCCTTATATTGAGGCTGTGTCCTTCATGAGCTTCCCATGCCAGTAATCACCACTGGGAACTAAATATTTCTCATATGGCTACCTGTCCATGCCCAGCTTGTGTCTTACCCTGTTCGTTCATTGAGACTTCTGTTCCTTCTCGCCCCCTGTGACATGCCTTTGGTTAGATGTGGGGTCCTTTCTTTAGTTTCAGTCACTCTCTCTGTTTCATAGGACCATCTTCCACATAAACGACAGGCCCTGAAACAGAAATAACTTATCAGTTAAAAAAAAAAAACACCATCCAAGCAAAAAATGCAGATGTTTGAGAAAAATAACTTGATTCTTTTCTCCACCAATTGCCCACTCCAAATGAGGACTTCCGGGAGTGTCAGTTCCAAAACACAGCTGCGTGTTATAAGAACTCCTCCGTGCAGGTCGATAGATCCCCGTGGGGCCTGCGTCCCACCAGAAACGCATGCAGGGCAGGGTCAGAGGAGTCTCTCCTCATTAAGCAGAAGGAAATTTTTCCAGGTACAAACTAAAATCCTCCCCTGTGGCTGTGAATTTATCGGCAAACCTGCTCCCACTGGTCACTTTATAAATGATGATTGGGAACAATCAACCATTTCCTTCGGCTACAAAGGCAGCTCAAATTGGTTCAAAATGGCAGACTTCCTGCTGGAAGGAACCTTCCCTGAACCAATGATAATATTCCTAGGGAAAAAGTGAAGGGGGGTAGTTGGCTGGGGTGCATCCACATTTCCAGGATCTGAAGGGAAATATTCAGCAGCATGTGGCTTTACCACCTACATATATTCTTACGCACGCCCAGAAGGGAGTTAAATGTTCTAGTTCAAAATGTTCTAGACTTATGGAGTCAATCACTTTATAAGGTGTATATATATACCATATAAATGTGTGTGTGTATGTGTGTGTGTGTGTGTGTCTAATCCCTATGTTGTACATTTGAAATTAATATACTATTGTCAACTGTAATTGAAAAATAATTTTCAACAGTATTTGTTCATTTTAAACATTTATTTTTATTAAAGAGTTTTATTTTTTTATTTTTAGAGGAAGAGGAAGGAAGAGAGAGAAAGAGAGAGAGAGAGAGAAAGAGAGAGAGAGAGAGAGGACAGAGAGAGAGAGAGAGAGAGAGAGGGAGAGAGAGAGAGAGAGAGAGAAACATTAATTGGCTGCATCCACATGCCTCCTACTGGGGATTAAGCTTGAAACCCAGGCATGTGCCATGACCGGGAATTGAACTGGCAACCCTTTGGTGCATGGGATGACGTCCAACCAATCAAACCACACCAGCCAGGGTGGTCTCTGTTCATTTTTATCCACCAAAAAAGCTGAACATTATTTAATAAGTTTTTAGTACAATATTTAGTGAAAAATAGTACAAACACACAAAATCATTCAGAGAGTTTGTGTGAGCCTGACACCATACTCCTTCTGTTCTTTCTTCCCATCAGTGATGGAGGAAACTTCCTTTTATTTTAAGAATACAAATTTAGGTCACATGGCAAATAAATGCTAATATGATATAAATAATCAATTGATTGGGCTTTGCAATTCTGAAAACAATAAATAGCTCAAGCAGTGATCATTTGAAAGAAGATCCAGGAATATATTGAGCTGATTTGCTGTTTTACCCATCACCTCCAGTGCTCTCTTTGTTCTGGGCAAAATGCACAGGCAATTTCTCTCCCAATATCCTCCTCCCAAAATAAAGCACCTGCTTGCAAACCATATCCCTCACCTAACCAGCCACTTTCTGCAAAGTACCTACAGTCTTTTAAAATCATGTTAAGCATTTTTCAGTTCCTCTGGAGACTTCAATAAAACAAGGGGCGTTCGTACGCCTCACCCAGGCTGCCTGACTGAAAGTAGTGCGAGGCAAAAATCATCCGCATGTAGAGTTAAACAATAAAATTTTCCAAGTATACACATGCTGTGAGAATCAATAACCTCTTCTCAAACCAGCAAATTGGTTTCAAGTATTCGGTTCACTGGTTATATCCAGCAGCCTGAATAACAGGCCCCCTCCTGCGTGAAAGGGACGGGGGTAATGAATTCTTGAAAAATGTGTTCTCATCAGAATTCCTGTGCTTCTCACAGAATGGATGACGGTATTTGTAAAGCTCTTTGGGAAGAACCCTGGTTTTAATTTCAGTCAATCCTCTTTGTGGGAATTTTAACAAAAATGCTTCTGCGGAGCATTCTGAACTATCCCGTTTCAGGAGGACAAGTCAATGCAATTGTTTGGAGAAATTGATATTTTCTGGGTTTTAAACTGACTTTGTAGCCAGATTCTTCTTTTTAAAAATAAAACTGATACTCTCTAGGAAGGGTTAGCCGAAGTCACTGGCCTTTCTACCAACCGATGGGCTCTGGGAATACTTGTCTGGAAATCGGGTCACTGTGATGGCAGGATATGCATGTTGCTCAGTGTCAGGCAAGTAGCCTGTGTTGTCTTTTTCTCCCTTCTGGCCTTCGCATTCCCTGAGCGCCATCCACCCTTCCCTCCAGGGACCAATGCCTACTGTCACCTCTACAAGCTGACGTCACGCCCCTGCTCTGCTCTCAGAAGACTTCTGAACCAGTCCTTCCGACTGTGGAACCTCCTTTCCTTTCTTCTTCTAGGGATGGGACATTTATGCAGAAACTCCGGCCCAAAATACAGCCTCATTGGGAGAAAAGGCTTCCTCCAACAGGGTGACTCGCACAGTGCACAGTTTCAAAAGGGAAAGGAGCCAGCTCTCACCAGTCGTATCAAATGGCTTCTGAGCAACTTTTCCTCTCGTAGTCCCCAAGGCTCCCCTCCATGCCCCCTGCCCAGGCCCCTGCTCACCCCGGGAATGGCAGACCGAGGACTCGCCTCTCAGGGCATCTCCCTTCTCAGAGCTCTGAGGTCCTAGTTATCAGAGGCCTCTTTCCGGCCATGTCCCCAGAGTCCCTCTCAAAGCTTCCAGTGGATTTCAGGGCTTAGAATTACTGCTTAGAGACACCATGGGTTAGACAGGCATTTGTGGGCTGGCTTAGGAGTCCCACTCACATGAATTCTATTTTCTCTCCTGACAACCTTACATCCCTACTTGTAAAAAAAACTTTTTAGCATCATTAATAACATTGTTCATAAATAGCCTAGTATCTAAGAGAAACTGTGAGTTAAGCACACCTATATTTTATAAACCCAACTTTGAAAAAGGGTGTGAAAGTTGGAGGCTGATTTTTTTTTTTTTTTTTTTTTGGTTGGTTGGTTGGTTTGCTTTCTTTTTCTTTATTCTACCTCTCCACATACTTATGCATTCATTTTTACTGTAGACATTTCTTAATCTCCTGTTAGGTATCTTGTTAGGGGCTAGGACTAGAGACCCCCTGTCCTTATGGAGCTCAGTCCAGTAGAATAAACAGATGAACAAATAAGGAAGAAAATGAAGAACAAAACCCCTCTGATGAGGAATGGTAGAAAAGCATGACGAACAGCATTCCGCTAGGAGTCACGGTGTAGCCAGAGAAGCTGAAAAAAGCTGGGGGCACGTGGCAGAAAAGATGCTTGCAGGAGAGACAATGACATAGGCAAAAGCTCACAGTGGAGGGAACCTGACAAGGCAAAGACAGAAAGGAGGCCCCTAGTTGGGCCCAGGCAGATGGGGGTGGGGTTCCAATGAGGCTGGACAGCTGGACAATGCTGTACCCCAAGGTTGCAGGGGGAAGAGCAAAAGGAAGTCTAACCTGAAAGGGGTGACAGGATCAACTGGGCTTTTTTGGTTTTTTTTAGCACTTCAGTCACAGTGGGGAGAAATACTGCTGGCAAGGGTGGCTGTCAGGCCTGGCCAGTGTGGCTCAGTGGCTGAATGTCTACTCATGAACCAGAAAGTCATAGTTCAATGACCAGTCAGGGCACATGCCTGGGTTGCAGGCTCAATCTCCAGTGGGGGGCATGCAGGAGGCAGCCAATCAATGAATGATTCCTTTTCATCATTGGTGTTTCTATCTCTCTCTCCCTCTCCCTCTGAAATCAATAAAAACACATTTTTTTTTAAAAGAGAGTGGCTTTTAGTAGTCCACTTACAGAGGTCACTGTGGGGGGCCTCGTGAGAAACACTGGCCACTTAGAGTGGATGGAGACAGACTCAAGGGATTGTCAGATGGGGAAATAGGCAAGCGTTAGCAATGAGTTGGATATAAGGGCCGAGGTTTGGGAAGCATGGAGGAATGACTCTTAGATTCCTGTTTTAAGTGTTTGGTCCTTTGCTTTATCACTATTGTCTGTGGTTCCCAGGCACTTACTATTTTTCTCTCTTCATGTTCCTGCTTCATCCTGAAGGAAAAACTACCTATCACTTCAAAACTAACAATGCAAAGAGACCCTCAGCATTATTTCAGCAATCTCCCCAAATCTATTTCTAATACATAGTACTCCAAAGTGATTTCGGTTTATAATTTTTAGTATAATTTATTTTATTGAAATGAGAAACCTGATATTTTGACATAGTGGTAAAGATTTTTAGTTGCAAATATTTAAAGCCAACCTAAACCAACTATAACATAAAAGAGATTTCATTATAAGACCATACGAGTGTCTCATAGAATGAAATGCAGAAATGCCACCAAGACTTAGAAATGAGCTAGAATCCCTCAGGTAGTTCTCTCCACACTCTGCCTGTTCTTCTCTGTGAAATGGCTTCAATCTTTTATCTTGGAAATGGGGCTTTTTTTCAATCTGCACTCCACAAGACAGCTCTGTAATGGCTCCTGTGTTTATCTGTTCTGGGTTTAGTCACAAAGACTGACCCTCAGTCCCTCAGCGTCAATTCCAGACCTCAGGGATGGGAACTTGACCCTGCTGCGGTCAGGTATTTGACCCTGGACAGTGAAGTATGGCTGGGGTGGGTGTGAGAGTTCAGGGAAGAAACAGCCAGCAGCAATTCCGAGTTCTCAGAGAAGGGAGAATTGTTATGATTTTGGCAGACACCCCATTGGAGAAGGAGGGAAACAATAGTTCTTTTGCTTCAATAAACATGTGCTAAGCACTATCCATATTCCAGGGCCCAGTTAGACTTGTGGATATAAAAATAAATGCAGCCAATTCTGCCTTCAAAGAGTATAACACCCAGTACTGCCTCGGAACACCTCTGTATGTGCTCACTTACTTATAGTGCATGCCTGAAAACTCACGGTCTGTGGCACAGAACCAACATGTGAGACGTTCATTCTGTGCAGTCTACAGCTAGCCCTCCTCTTGGATC